TTTATAGGTGGGCAAGTTCAGCAAGGGACAATATTTTTTTTGTTATAGAATGCCTCAAGAAGTCTTATCCACAGCTGTGTCTCAGACACCAAGTTCAAATTCTTTAGGAAAAATTTTAATATTTCCTAAAACATAATTAGTTATCCAGAGTTTCACATGACAATAAATAAATATTCTAACTTAAAGTGGGTAAAACTAAAGGGTTTTGGTCTATTTGAATTTTTCAGGAAACTAATGAGACACCTTAATTGAGGTAGTGAATTTATTCAATGTTCTTGCATCTAACGGGTTCTGTAAAATCTCTGAGAATTCTATACTACAATTTTTCGTTTTGAATGTCTTATAAAATAAATATATGTGTGTAAGATAGATCGATATTTATATATACGTGTGTATAAGATAGATACATATGTATATATACCTCTATACACACATATATATAAATACATAGAAATCTGTGTGCAATCACTTACAGAGTAAGCAGAATCGGATGTGGATTTTATGTGGGAGGCAAGAGTTTTCTTTAACAAGTGCTTTTGCCTGCCACATTTATGTTATGTTTTATTTATATTTCAGGCAGAACACTAACAGTGATCAATTTATGTTGAAGTGTCCTACAAATAACAAAAATAGATAAAACAGCAAAATGGATTTAAATCTAACCCTTTCCAAAACTTGGCTACAACTCATAACAACAAGGGTAATAAATGCTTAGGTAGCAGAGGTCAAACGGGAAACATTATCAAATGAGGAGAGGCACAGGAGCCCAGGATCATGCCTCGATGCCCACCAAGTTGGGCATTAGGTCACTATCAGAGAGAAATACAGCCAGCCACTTCAGCTATGGCTTCAGCTGAGGCAAGAGCTGTGCTGCCAAGTTGCTGAGTCTGCTTTCTCCATTCCTTTGAGATTCATTAAAGAAAGTTCAGAAACACAACTACATGAGGTGAGGATAAGGGCACATGCAGACCCCCTTCAGTAAAACTTACTTTCATCTACTCCCATCCATATCCAATTCCCTCAGCTTGGGTGGACAAACTTTCCAGAGAGGGTGACTGAAAATAAGACTCCTTCTAGGAGCAACTGGCCGAAGGGGCACCAGAAAACTTTCCTATGCTCCAAGTTGAGGTAAGCTACTAAACTGGGCCCCACAGAGGGTGGCCTGAAGTCTCAGAAACACAACTGCACGAGGAGGAACGCGCCAGCTAGGAAGGCAGGGAGAGCAAGAGGAACATGGTGTCCAGCGTCTCCTAACCAGAATCTAACAGCAGAGAAAACATTCAGCCTCCTCCCTCCCAATACCCGTGTCTGTCACTTTCTTTCCATTCGAAAAGAAAGTCCTAGTTGAACTAAACAAGCCAGTAGCCCATGCCTAAGAACCATATCATCTCAGATTCTCATCTCCCAATGGGCTTCCGAGTTCTCCACAAATAAAATCGTCTACTCCGCTTCCTCGCGCTAATAATTGGGGGGTGGGGAGCAGGGAAGGGAGAGCGATGTCTGGAGACATACGATCAGAATTCAAGGCAGCTTCTAACAACTCTCTTGTTTATAGAAAATGAATGTCTGCCTGGCTTGCTTTTAGTTCAGAAAAGGGGTCAGTCTTTATCAGCACGGTTCACACAGATCCTGGATTTTTTTTCCCTTATCTTAAATTGACCCGCTTTTAAGATAAAGACATAATAGAGAAAGCATTGACCTTACCTGGTCCCTAATGAGCTGGAAGTCAGAAAACCTCGCTCTCATTTCCTCTTATCTGGATCGCCTGAGAAGAGATTCGCGCTACCTTTTGTGCACTCGCGCCTCGAGATAGCCCCTCACTGACGCCTGGACGCGGTGAGCGCGCTGAAGGCTGTGCGGCCTCTAAAGTCTGAGAATTCCTCCCTGCGGCCTCAAAATTGGAGAGTTGGATGCCAGACCAAGACACTGTCACTAGAGCTCGCTCCCAGCCCTGGCCCAGGAAGATTTAAAATTCCTTAGAAGGCTCACCAGCAAGTCTTTCCCTATGAAAGGCCAAACTCTAAGCTTCGGGAAGAAGCCTCCTACAAGGACACTGGTCTGGAGCGCCCGGGGCATCCGCGTCTCCAGGAGTGCGCGCCCAGAGCGTTTCTAGCGGAGACTGCCCGGGCCAGACTCGGATTTCATTCGCTGGGCCCCAGGCTACTTCCCACCGGGCCAGCAGCAGGGCCGAGCCGCTGCCCTGTTGGCTGAGGCATTCCCTGCCCCCATCCGCCTCCTGGCCTTGAGGACCGCAGTGCGTGCCCTTGTTGGTAGTCGCAACAGCCCGGGATCCCTGTCTCCCCTACTCGGAGCGTATCTGTCTCGCTCTTCTACCCTCTTCTGAGCTTGGCCCAGTCCCTGACCCCCTTGCTAGCTGAGAGAGCTGCTTTCCTTCCTCTCCTGCCCACAGCTCCCAGTTCCCAGGCTGGGGCCAGGGTGGGGAGCCGCTTTGGGATGCTAAACATCAAACAAGCCCAGTCTGGGGTTTCAGGGCCCGAAGCCACTAGAGCGGCTCTCCAAGGCTCTCGAGAAAGTCCTCGTGTTTACATGGCGAAGTGGGGGTGGGGAGAGGAGGAAGGGGGGGTGCAGTGTGCAAAATCTCCCCCACTCCTCGCAGCCGTTGGGGCCTAGGGATTGGTAGGGTACTTTGGCGGAGGCAAAGCTTCGCAGTGATCTCGGGGTGAACTGTACTTGCTCCCAAACCTCAGAAGCTTCCAAGCACCTCAGCGCCAGGGGCATCCTCAGAAGGCCGATTTCTCCGAGAGGGGAGGCCAGAAATTGGGCACGAGTTGATGCAGGAGATTCCCGGAAAGGAGGACGGTCGGCTTTCCAGAAGCCGACGGTGCTGTAGGGGCGGAGGGTGTCCCCAGGTTGCGGAACCCTCTTGCACTGCTCCCAGCGCCACCTATTTCCCTAATGAAACGCTTCAGAATGCGTTCTAGGTCTCTTCCTGCAGCTGCTACAAGTCCCCCAGCCGGGAGCGGGAGCGGATGGAGCTATCGTGATTGATGGGGAGAAAGAGACTGAGGTCCTGTTTGTCTCGGTCCCCAAACCCAACTGAGTTCACCTTTCCCCGGGACAAGTAAACAGACTTCGAACTACGCCGACTCTAGACGTCGAGGAGAAGAATGTACTTGTTGGAAACTCCATCCAGTGCAAAGATGATAAGACCGAAGGTACCACAGCCTACTCAAATTGTGACTCCCAAAGGCTTGCTCCCGGTTAGAATGGGGTGCGGGGCAGCCGCCTGGACCACAGCCGGGCACTGCCAGCCAGGTCCCCGCCCGGGTTTGGGCTAAGCTGGGGCAGGTTTAGCGAAGCTCCAATTCCGTGGGATCCGGACCTAGAGCCAAACAGCAGCTGCAGTATCCACATCCCCTTCCCGGCCGGCCTGAGCTGGGTGCCTTAGCCACCTACACTCCCGGTCCCGGAACCACAGCTGACCATTCCAACGCAAGTGGTCAAACTTTACGGGTTTTTGTTTGTTTTCCAAAATGTGAGACCTGCTAAAATCTCCCTTCCCCGCCTTTCAACCAGCACACTCACTAGACCCAACCATCCTCTTGGGTATCTTCGAGTCCCTCTGGATATTGGAAACTGTATCTCAGCAGTGAGGCCCAGGTTTCTGAGGGAGAAAGCCCGGCCTAGCCCCCAGTCCTAAGGCACCACCCCAGAGGAGCCTCCAGGAAGTCAACAAAGAGGACTATTGGGACCGGAGCGAGGACTCCGGCCAGTCTGCTTTCCTCACAAGCTGTTGGTGGGGGAGCGGGAGGGAGGGATTGGGAAGAGATGCAGACATAATGAAATGGAAGAGGGAAAGAGAGGAAGAAAAAGAAAGTTGAAAATCTAGGCGAGAAGTGAGTACATGCCAAATAAGAATCAAGTGCCCATAATCCAATACTTCCAGGCCTAGAGGAAAGTGCTGGGAGGGGCATCTGCCCGCAGCTCGCTCAGCTCGCTCAGCTGCCTTTCGTCCGTAGATTTGGCAAGGGTGACCCAGAAGAGGCTACAGCCCCTCCAGGGACTAGTTTTTCTATGTTCAAAACCATTCCTTCGCCCCTCCCTCTCATCCCTGATGGGTCTCCCAACACAAACCCTAAGCACTGAGTAAACCAGGAAATTAGAGGTTGGAAGAAGAAATCAAAAATGATTTTTTTTTTTTTTTTTTTTTTTTTTTGCTTGGCATGGGAGGTAGTGGCTGGGAGGTGAAGAACTGCAAACAGGAGAAAGATTCATTACTACAAAAATTTAGGATCCCAGAGAGAAAAACCGGTACAACAAAGAGTGAAATCTCAGCTCACAAAGTCCTTCCTGGGACGTCCTCAGGCCTGTCACCCAGTGTTACTCCATTGGAGGCCAAAGGAGCCAAAAGCAGCAGGGGCTGTGGGTGTCTGCTGCTGGTCCCCGAGAGGGATCCCTGTTTTAGGGCAGAAATAAAACCCCAGAATGACTTCCTCACTTTTGAAAACAGCCTCCCACCGAATTCTGTGAAGGAGCTCAGCCACGGATTAGAAATAAAGATTTGATGTTCAAATCTACAGAGGCGATCCATTCGCTAAAAACCATAACTCACTCAGAGTTATTTAAAATGGGTGTCCTCTCTCACTGTTTTAGAACTTTGGCTCAGGTTTGTGAGACCACAGTAGATACTTCTGAAACTCCTATCAACAGAAGCCTGACTCAGAAAATGAATTCTTTGGTCTCTTTCTCTTTCTCTCTCCCTCTCCCTTTTGGTGGAAGTAGTTTGGTATTTCGGTCCTCCATTGCAGTCTCAGGACTGCTCCAGGTTTGGTTCCACACAATTTCTAAAGAAGAACAAAACTCCCTCTTCCTGTGGGGCAAGGACTCTCGGCCTGGCCTCCTTACCTCCTTACCCGGTTCAGAATCCTTTGAGCTCAAACCCAAACAATTTGAATCTCATCAGACCAGAGACAAGATCCTCCCAAGCCCCCGCCCTCAAAGCCATTTAAAGCCAAATCAAAACCAAACAAAAAGGAGGGTTTTAATCAGAAAAAGAATCTTTTTAATTTGTATAATTTATTAGAAGCTTCTTAGGAACTATTTTTAAGCCAAATATCTACATAAGTTACAACAGAAAAAGACTGACGCCGCAAATACCAAACTGCCAAATAATATACACAGATTTGTCAATGCCCATAAAAAAAAGTGAAGGGCTGGAGACTGGGAGTGGTTTTTCTTTTTACAGCAAAATGTACAGATTACTAAAAACTAGGCATTTAGTCCAACTTTTGACAGCGTTTTACAGCTACAAGTTCACATCAAACATAAACAATTTTCGCGGAGGGCGGTCGCCGCTGAGCCTAGGCGGCCAGAGGGTGCCGGGGAGGGGGCACTTCCTTTGTGTCAGTGACAAGTGGGTTATGTCGAAGACTCTTTCCTCTCCCCAGCTCCCGTCCTCCCTTCAAAAAAAAAAAAAAAAAAAAATTCCTGGTATTTACAAGTGAGTCCACTTTGCTGGCAGAGTGTGCCCAGAGTGAAGTTTGGTCTTTAGAGTCCAGAGCCATGTCACAGAGCCCACTCCAATCTGTGCCCCGCCCTAGCGTGGGAAACCCATTTGAATCACCAAAAAAGACAACCCCAAAGCTGTTTTATGCCCTTCTCTGCTTAAAGATTCCTTAAGAGATTGGGTGCGCTTGGTTGTTTTTATTTTCTTTAAAAAAAAAAACACACACAAATTTTAGGGGGGAAAAAAAAGAAAGAAAGACGTCCAGCAGTTTGGCCTTTGTGGTTTTTTGTTCCTTGGTCTAAACGCGGCCAGGTTCTTAAGAAAAGTCGAAGCGCGTGGAGCAGCGGTGGATGGTGGTCTGTGTGGCGGGCAGGAGGGAAGTGGTGAGGCAGAGCGCTGGGCTAGGGCGGGCCCGGCGTCCTCTCACCAGGTCCGACCATATAGCAAAGTGGAGCAGGACATGGTGCCGTAGTCCGAGCCCGAGGAGTTCAGGTGGGACAGGCTGGATACCTGGCCCTGCAGCGCCGCGGGGCTGGCGGCGTGGTGCGCCAGGTCCGGAGACTGGCCTGCGCTGCCTGGCTGGTGGCCCGGGTGTGCGCCAAGGCCAGCGCCACCGCTGCCCACGGAGATGGCCGCTGCCGCCGCCTGCGCGGCCTGCGCCTGCTGCTGCGCCTGCTGCTGCGCGTGGCCTTGTAGGCTGGCGGCGCCCGGCGCGGGGGCACCCGCCTGGCACGGTTTGCCGTCTTTCACCAGGACTGGCACCGCCACACGTCGCGGCGACTGCTGCTGAGCCTGTTGCTGCTGCGGGCACCCGGCGCCCCCGCCGCCCCCGCCGCCGCCGCTGTCCTGCTGCAATTGCTGCTGCGCCGCCTTGTCCTTAGCCTGGCGCTTCATTTTGTAGCGGTGGTTCTGGAACCAGATCTTGACCTGCGTGGGGGTCAGGTGGATCATGCTGGCCAGGTGCTCGCGCTCCGGCGCCGACAGGTACTTCTGTTGCTTGAAGCGTCGCTCCAGCTCGTACACCTGCGCCTGCGAGAAGAGCACTCGGCGCTTCCTGCGCGGCGCGCTTGGCAGCGGGGCCATGTTCTTGCTCACGTCCCCCAGCGAGCCCAGGCCGCCCATGCCGCTCATGTTCATGCCGCTCGCCGGGCCCATGAAGCGGGAGACTGTAAGCGACAAACGCACAGCGTCGGCCGGGGCCAGGCCGAGCCAGGCCACCCCTGTTTTCCGCGCCATTGGCCCGCCCGGCCCGCCCCAACCCGACGGCGCCCTCCTGACCCAGGCAGCCTAGCGCTGGGCCCCAAGAGGCCCATCCGCGGGGAACTGCCAGCGCCTGCCCCAGGCCGTGCCGTCGAGGGCTGCACTAGAGCGCTCACAGCCTCAACCCTGGTTGCCCTCCCTCAGTCTCAGTTCCCTCTTTCGAACCAAAAGACGCATTGGGGGAAAGGCCGCTTCTGCTCCTTTCGTGCCCAGCCCAGGTCAGAGCAATGGGATTAGCTGGCCACAGGCGGCGAACTGGGCTCAGGCAGGGAGCTGGGGTCCGACGGTAGACCCCAATTTGGAGAGGTTAGGAAAGGGGGTGTTGACTTCCAAAAGCTGGAGCCCCCAGACGCTTTGCCTCTTGGCTTCTCTCCTGTCGGCCTCAGTGAGGGCACCTGCTCGGCCCCTTAGAGTCCCCTCTGGAACTGCGAGTCCTCCCACCTGCCCAGACTCCGCTGGAGAGAGGGCCGGGACGGGCGCTCGAGTGCCTCCCAACAGGGCAGCCTCCCTCCTGGCCGGGCCTAGCCTCTCCGCGCTCTGCTCGCCCCTGCTCCTTGAGCTCGGGGTCGCTTCCCTCGGCTCCCCGAGGTCTTCTGCGCGGAACAGAACTGCCAGTCCACCGCGCCTAGGAAACGCCGAGTACCCGCATCTGACCGCAGGACCCCAGCGCTACCAAGTGCCTGCTCTTGGATCCCCAGCCAAGCAGCGTGAAGCATCCCCAGCTCCCGCACCCAAGTCCCTGGCGCCGCTGCCGGGCCGCCCTCCCTGATGCCCAGCGCGCAGCCTGCCGGCGCCGCGCCTTCTGGACGGCTCTCGCCTCATCTCCTGAGCTCAGCCCGCGGCCCCGCAGTGGGGCGGCCTCACTTACTGGCGGGGAAGCGCGGGTCTGGGTTGGCGCCGTACCATCCGGGGCCAGAGGCGCTGTTCCTCATGGTGTCCTGGTACGGCGGCAGCTCGCTCATGTTGCCCAGGTTGCCGTTGCAGTAGCCCCCCACGGCGGAGTGCGAGAGCTGGGGCACCCCCGCCGCCGTCATGTGGTAGGCGGCGGTGACGGCGCCGTGGTGCCCCACGGCGTGCTGCTGCATGGCCGCGGCCGGCGGTGCCGCCTGGCCCTGCCTGTACGCCGCCAGCGGAGCCCCCAGGCCGCCGCCCTCCATGCCCACTTTCTTGTAGCTTTCCTCCAGGGGACTCAAGATGTCAGACACTGAGAACGGAGTCGTGTGCTTTGGACTCATCGACATGATTCGGCGGCGGCTGGAGGAGGAAGGAAGAGGAGGAAAAAAAAGGGAGAGGGGGAAGGCGAAGCCTCGCTGCTTTTTTTTTCTCCCTTTGCCAAATATTCTGGTGTTACCTTAACGCCGATCTTGTTGGAGGTACACGTAACGGAGTGGACCGAGTCCTCCTTAATTGGCTTGAGTGGAGGCTCGGGGGCTGCCTCGCGTTTGTTTTAGCCCGGCGCCAGGTTTTAGGCAGCCACCAGAGGCGGGGCGTAAGCGCTAAAGCAACAAGACAATAGAAGCCTACATCTTGCCCGAGATAATTAGCTTACATGCTGATGACAAGGTAAACACCTTTAAGTTTCACTTGTCAGGATTTTTAGGTCTCAAAAGAGAGAGAGAGAGGCAGAGACGAGACCCAAAGCATTCCCCCCTCCCTTGGACACCCCCACCCCCATTTTTTGTGGGGTACCAGCGGAGCGCGGGGAGGAGGTGGAGGGGTGGGGAAGGAGGAGGGAACCGAGAGCGGGGAGGGCAGGAGGTGGGGTGGGGGAGTAACCGAGGAGGAGAGATGGTTGGGAGGAAGGAAGGTGAATGCTGCTTTGCAACCAACTTGCTGAGTTACAAAGTGGAACCACTTTCCAATTCGGTCGGGGTTCCCCGGACATGAACAGGTCTTTAGGAGAAGAGGGCCGAGGGACGGGGTGGGGGTTTCACCTGAGCCTGCCGGGGCTGCTCCTCCCTCCCGCCGCGGCCTCCCAGCCCCGCGCCTTCCCACAGCCTCCGGACCACATCGGGCTTCGCTGCGCTGAGCCCCAGTCGCCAACAAATGAGCGAGCGAGTCTGGGGACGAACCCTGGGGCCGCACTGTTGGTCTACGTGTCTGTCAGTCTGTCTGCCTCTCTTCTGCCGCCGTCAGAGGGACACCTCTGCTCCCCGCCCCCTTTCCCCCTACCCGAGAGAATCCGAGCGGGCGGAGGGGGCGCTGAGTAGGGGATCGACTGCCTCCCGGAGGCTGTCCCGGATCCCCGAGCCACCACCCGCCCCCGCAGCTCAGTGGTTTTTCAGTGGGCCACCCCCACCAACACGCCTCCCCCCAGGTCTTTCCCCACCCCCACCCCCGGCCGAGCAAACACAGCACTGGCCCCCCGAGCTGGGATGATGGGAAGGGGTCTCACGGGAGGGTCCGTCACTGAAGTTGCCCCACCTCGAACAAACCTGGTGTCCCTGACCCTCGCCCATCTCCCAGACACGCGGGGTTCTGGGGCTGAAGCTGACTTTCCGAGGACATCACAGCCCCAGCACCCGAGCCCAGAGCCACGCTGTTTTCCCCTCCGATGCTTCAGGGAGGGCGCGGGCAGGGAGCGGAGTGAGTGCCCGCCAGTCTGTTGCCGGGCGGAACTGAGCCTGAACCCCGGCGGCGGGAGCGCTGGCCAGGAGGGGGCGAATGCCGAGGTGCGGGAAGCTCAGCGGGCGGGAGGCTGGGCTGAGGCTCGCCTCCGCCCGCAGCTCAGCCATGCAAAAGTGCACTTGCTTCCCGGGAATAACCAAATATCTTTGTTTAAAGTGGTGGCGTAAATGGCCAGTCGCTTTGTGGCCACGCTGGATATTAGTAGATGAGGATCATTCTGCTTCAATTGGGCGCCTCTCATCCGACGAGCAAGAAACTGCTTAGGAGGAAGTGGGTTTCCTGTCTGCGCGTTCCCAGGCTTCAAGTGTGGGCCCCGCGCCTTGAGGGTCCTTGGGCGCCTGGCGAGGGGGAGCTGTGGGCTGCGATCCCCAGCGGAGTCGGGGGTGTCCCCCGCGTTGTTCGGACCAGGCCGGGGCCTGCAGCCGAGTCGACTACCGAGTGGAGCCCTGAACGGCGCGGATTTTGAGACCGACTCCGGTTTTTTTCCGTGGATTTTAAACGTTTTTATTATTGTTTTTGTTTTGCTTTCTTTTTGGTTGTTTTAGCCTCCTCTGCGCGCCGGGGGCTGGGAGGGCAGAGCGCTCCTCGGCCGGGCCTGGCGGGTACCTGCAAGACAACCGCGCTGGTCAAGGAGCTTCTCGAATTTAGTTTTTGTTTTCACATTTTCTTTCCCCTCCTTGTAGAGAGGGAGCTCCTGATGATGATGAACAGGCAGTTTTGAGCTACTTAATTCATCCAGGCTCCCTTTTTAAAATTATTAATAGCAATTATAGTAGAGAAAGTTTTATTTGTTTTTAAAGATTTCAGCCCTGTCCTTGAAGAGTGCTCTTACTCCCTCAATACAAAGCCAACGTCTATACTAACATTGGCTTTTCTCACAGCCTACCTTCTTTACCAGGCTAAAGAAAGCTCAGGGCACCCTCCGCCCTCCCACCTGCGCCCGCGTTTTTGTGCGGTCCCCACGGCAGTGCTGGGGAGGCCACTCTACGTTTGCGCAGGGAGATGCGCTCGCCGCTTGTGTTGCGAAAGACCAGCGCGAAGCCCCGCTCCTTGCCCTTCCTTCCCAGGGGCTTCTCTGGGGGGCGCTCTCAGGACCGGACGAACTGAGCATTGATTACTGTGGTGGCTAAGCAAGGAGGGGAGGCGACGCCGGGCTTAAGCGAACCACAGAGGAGAACTGGCAACGCTGAATACAGACCTTGTCTGCAGGCACGACCTGGCCGGGCCTGCGTCCCGAATGGGGTCTGATTTCGAAGGCGGGGTGGGTTTCCCTGTCACCCAGCTTCTTTCTCTGACTCGCCATTATTTCAGAGTTGTTGGTAAGTTTAAGAAACACCAAGTGTAGAATGTTGTACATCTCTCCCAGTCTCAACACCATTTAGAAATGGAGATCAATCTTCACAATGTTTTTGTGAGATTCAAGTAAGATAGAGCACATCAAAGTGCTTTGAAAGCTTTAAATGTTTTTCAGCTCAGTGCCAGCACTGAAGATGCGGTAGTTATTATCATGACGATCCCCATCCCCTCTTTAGGTCCCCAGACCTGAGTAAAAGGAAGAGTTGGGTGAATCTTCCACAGCCCCTGGGTCTTCGTCCCTCGGCAGCTTTTCAACCTCTCAGCAGGCCACAGGCGCACGTGGCTGGCAGCTCCCTGGCCTCCGGCTCTGAGAGTCCCGGGGCAACCGGGCCTGCAGTTCTCGAGGAAACCCCCCTCCCCGTTCTGGACAAGGAACCCCCTCCCCAAGAACCGCGCAGCAGGTGGCGAGTCTGGGAGCTGAACTGGAGCCAGGTGGCGAATCTGGGAGCTGAACTGGAGCGGAGCTCGAAGTGGCTGGGGCGGGCAAAGATTCCCGCTTCACTCTGGGACCAACTGGAACGGCGCTTCAACCTCTGCCTGCAGGGGTGCTTCTCGCGCGCACCAGCAAGCTCTCGTCTCCACCTCGCCTGGGCCTTTGCAGCGCCCTGCCGCCCAGGCTTCAGCACCTCTCCTACCCTAACCTTCTCAACGCGCGGCTCTGCCTTCTTCACCAGTACCTCTGCACTGCCAAAAATAAGCCCGGAGACTAAGGCACCTGTGGGGAAGAGAAGGATATCTGTATCTCCGAGCTTATCCAAGCAAAGACCTCGAGAGTCCCTCCCATGGCCCAAAACACCTCCTTTTGACCGAAGAGCGTCCTTTCTTTCCGCCGCCTCCTAGACTCATGCTAAATAGGGCAGACCCCGGCTAACCAGTGATTTTTTTTTTCCATGAATACGAATAACCCCGATTCCACTTCGCGAAGTCTGCGCGTCTTCCTTTATCCCGCAACTAACTTGCTCCGGGGTGGAGTGGGCACAGTGGGGAGCAGGTCAGGGCAGGGCCCAACACTGGCCCCTCGCGGAGCTTTCCCTGGCGCAGCCTCACACTGTCGCTGCCTCAATTCCGACCACGCTCTGCTTCGCTGGCTGCGGCTCGACCGGGAATCTGAGGGGGCGCAGGGCCAGGATCGGCCCTAGATGCGCGGAATCGCCATCAGCCTTTGCTTACACCAGCGTGGCCACAGGGAAACTCCCTTCTGTCCCTCCAGTGTCACTTTGCTAGACAAGAACAGAGGGCTCATACAGAAGGCTAATTTGGGGTCTGTAGCTTGGACCGGGTGGAACTGAGGAGGAACCACCTGTCTCACCGCCCCACTCCACAACTGCTTTTTCTAACTCCCTTTGTGGTCCTCCACTCCTCTTTAGGGCGCTGAGCGACTCTGTCTCTTGGTAGTGTTATTTTGCTTCAAGTTTTATCACCATTTTTGATTCACTCAACAGTATTTATTCAGCTAGGGCTCTGTGCCAGGGACTACCCTAGGCCTGAAAATTCAGCCTTAATCTAGGTGTAGCTCCTACTCACACGGAGCTTACACATTCACAATAAATCACCCAAATAATATGTAGTTACTTTCTGACAGATGTTACTGCAGGATCCAGTGAGATAGAGAGGGTTGTAATGGAGGTTTGTGTGTGTGTGTTTGCATCATTTCTTGATCTCCCAGCATTCCAAGGTCGTGAGAGGAGCCCCTGAGTAGAAGTCAGTCCTAGGTTTGAACCCTGGCTTTGCCTCTTTCCAGCCGTGCAGTACCGCCCTTGTGGGCTCCTGCCACACCCTGGAGTCACACCCATCACAGCCAGAGTAAACCAGTGTGTGTTTTCTGGCTTCCCTCCTTGAGGGTGAGCCCCATTTTTATCTTTGAACCCCCCCCCCAGTGCCTCAAGAAATGCTAAGGAAACACAGCCTCCTAGCACCTGTTTCCTGTGTGTAAAAAATGGTCACAACCTGCCCTGTGTACTGGCCTGGTTTGTGCTAGGGATCCAAACAATTCAGGATAAGATCATGTGCCTGAGTTTGTAGATCACAAAAGTCGCTAACAGAAGGAGTTACTCCTTCTGATTCTGTATTTTGGATTTATAGAAACTGAATCTAGGCGTCCCACCTTCGACAAGAAGCACTTGGGCCCCTCAGTTGCTATCGCGGGTCTCCCATAGCTAGGCACAGGCTTCTAGGCCGGGCTGAGCTGGGCTCGCGAATGCCATCGAGGCAACCAGGCGCAGGGAGCGGAAGGCAGGAGTGCAAATGGGCGCTGGGAGTCGCTGCTCCGCAACCCCAAAATCTGAGGAATGCCTCCGGGGGATGATTTCTCTCTGGAGGGGTCTCGCAGGGCCCCCTCTGCGCTGCTTTCTCAGGCACCAGAACCGAAAGCCTCGGGAGGGACCGCTGGAGCCCGGGGCGTGCAGACAGTCGGCTTTCACAGACGCAGTGGAAGGAATGATCCCTCTACTGCTCCCTCTCCCGACTTGACTGTCTAGAGTCTTTGAGGGGACTTTCCTTTTGGGAACGCTTTTCTCAAGTCGTGGCCTGTGGGCAGACTGGGAGCGGGGCGCCGAGACATCCGAGCGCGGCTTCTGCTTTTCAGTTTCCCTCACAGGCGTGCCCTGCGGAGGGAATGCGAGGCGAGGGCGCGTCTATGCGGGCCAGAGTCAGCCGAAGAGAGTCCGGCCCTTAGGCCTTTGGTGTTGAAGAATCTGCTCCTCTGTCGGGTCAAGCCCCACTAGAAGTTAACACCTGTGGTCTCCAAACTTGCCTATTTTCCTGTCACGCAGTTCAAGCCAAGATTCAACTCGTCTTGAATTTTTGTATTTAGAGCCCCTACCTCCTCCACCGACTCCAGGGGCGCCCTCTGGCGGGAAGAGGCCTGGGGTAGGAGGGAATCTGGGGAGCGGGTTACAAAGCAGAGAGCAGCGGGAGCTCAGCAGCCCCCTTTGAACTGCAATTAAACCAAGACGGAGACGGGAGGTGGGAGCACGGGCCTGAAACGGTCAGGCGACCCTGCGAGGCCCGAGCTGCAGCCCTCCGCGGCGAATCCGCCAGACGCCCCCGTCGGAAGGGGCGGGGACACCTCCGGGGCGCTCTAGGGCTCGTGAGGCTCTAAGGTAAGTTTCGCAGCTGCTCCAGATAATTAAAGGACAGATTCCGGAAGTAACCTGGTGGCGGCGCGGCTGTTTTCGCCCCAGGACCTGTGCAGCCTCATTCAGCTTCAGGTAGTCGAAACCTATAGCTCTTTCTGCCCCCCATTCCCCAACAGATCTCAGTCCCAACAGTGTGAGCCCCTGGGCCTTGGGTGTTCGCGTTTCCCGCGGGCTTGCCAGCAGCGCTGGGGTTCCCTCCTCCGCTCCTTTCCTCCTCTCCAACCTCACACCCCAGCCCGTCTCCCCGACACCCCCAACACTTGTCCCAGACAGTTTCTGGTGGCCGCAGTACCGATCCCAGGCCAGTGGGATGGGGGTGGGGAAAGGGTGGAGGGGGAATCTCCGACGCCCAAGGTTTTCTGGGACTCGACAGAGGCTGGATTCCCCCTCGCTGCCTAGGACTTGTGGGCTGAAGGTTGCAGACCGAGGCGAGCCGCAGCGCCCTCTTCCGGCCGCCGTCTGGAGAACTGCAGCCTTAGAGCGGTCTCAGGGAAGCTTTGCTACTAGGTCCCGGGAAAACTGGTAGTGGTCAGAGACTGGTAGTACATCCTCCACGCATTCGCTCATTCTAACTATCCACCCGACCATATGTCAGGCAGTCTCTTGGTCCACCCAAAGCCAATATAAGTTATGACTGACTCTTTGGATCATCCAGTCTCCTTGCACCTGCTATTTGAAAGAGCCCAGGTGTAGATCAGGGCTTGGAAGCTGCTCTTATGCCTAAAGTCCTCTTTTAATTATGCTTTGCCTTGGAATCTCGTTATGAGAATGTCCTATCCATGTCGGAGGGCACTTGGAGGCATATTTGGTGACCAGTGGAGTAGCTTGTACTTGCTGCATGTCCTTTCTGGAGGAGCAGTGGCCCTATTAGCTTGACAGCCTGACACAAGGAGTTTCTGCCTTGTGTTGGAGCAGTAGGAGCATAACCCCTAGAAAATATTGGAGTAAGAAAACTTCTGGGACTAGCTACACTCGGTGGGTGCCTTCCAGCTCTCCATTCTATGGCACCAATTGACTCAGGCAGGCTTTCCCCCAAATTATTCCCCCTTCTTTGGACTCTGGTCAAAACCAGATCCTCTCCACCCTCCCAAACCCATCCCAGCCAATATGCTCATGTTACTTTGCTTTTGTTCTTTTACACTTAGCCAGGAAATCATTCTTTCCAGCCCCACAACTAAGTCATACCCTTCTCTTAAAAAACCCAATTGCCTCTTCCGACAACTAAATGTCTGACACATAGTGGGAGCTCAATATATGTGTGCAGAATAAGTGGATGAATCTCTATTACAATTTTCTGTTACATTAGTAAGCAATTCATCCCAATTGAATGATTTCCTAATTGCCATGTGTTTGTGTTCTTTTTAGGTAGACCGTAAGCTCCTTATTTTCTGTTTTTTTGTTGTTTTGTTTTTTCCCCCCAAGACAGGGTCTCTCTCTGTTGCCCAGGCCAGAGTATAGTGGTGTAATCATAGCTCACTGCCACCTCAAACTCCTAGGCTCAAGCAATTCTCCCTGCTCGGTCTCCCAAAGTGCTGGGATTACAGGCATGAACCATCGTGCCCGGCCAGCTCCTTGATTTTAAGGGCCATTTCAAAATACTTAGACATGTTCCTAGAAATGTGCCCAGTGCTCTGAGGCATTTGACAATGTTAATCACCCCTTTCTGAAATTCTCTCATTGGCTGCAGACTCACCGCTCTATCATGGTTCTCTTCCTCCATCTCTGGACATTTCTTCTCAGAGACCAGGGTTGAACTCCCATCCTGCACTGTATACCCATCCCCGTGGCTTCAGCTGCCACCTGTTTTTGATGGCTCCTAAATCCATACCTCTAGCCAACCTCTGTTCAGAGCTTCCAATCTGTACTTTCAGTTGTTTACCTCCTTATGTGAATTTCTGCCAAACTTAACATATCCAAATCTGAACTTACACTGTCCCGATTTGCTTCTTGTCCTATGTTCTTGATCTAGATGAATGGCATGAACATCTCCCAATTCCTGCCACCCCACTCCTTCACCAAGCTCCTGTGCTAGTCAGTTCTGTCTGCCATAACAAAATACTACAGACTGGGTGGCTTACACAATGAAAACTGGTTTTCTTACAGTTTTGGAGGCTGCAACGTCCAATATCAAAGCCTCGCAGGATGTATTTGCTGGTGAGGGCGCTCTTACTGGCTTGCAGAGACGCCTTCTGATATGTCTTCGCATAGCAAAGAGAGAGAGATCTTTTTCTATATAAGCCACAGTCCTAACAGATTAGAGCCCCACCCTTATGACTTCTTTTAACTTTAATAACCTTCTGCT